AAATAAATAAAATCTTAAAAAAATTCTAAAAAAATGGTTAAGAAAGTAATTTAATATTATGGGTTGGTTTTTTTACCACAATAAAGACAAAAGAACACACATACACATACAAAGCTTTGAGATGAATGAAAGAAGCCAGACACCACCAGTCACTGTATGACTCTATATGAAATTCAAGAATGAGCAAAACCAATCTATGGTAAATCTGATGGGTTTTTGGCGGGGGGGGGGTTGTGTGTGGAACAAGAACCAAGTTTATTTGTTCATTTCTTGCATTTGAAGTATTCCTCGATGACATCCTTCGCCTGAGACTCTTTGCCGTAGTCCTTAACCACCACACAACTGCAACCAACCACTTTAGGGGGTTTTGCCTCTCTGTCAGTTTTACAGAGGCCTACCCATTCCCCTAGTTTCTTATTGTCATCAACCTTCATTAGGTTGATTTGGTGTTCAGCACCAACTTGACATACATAGGCTCATCACAGTTGGATGCAAGCATTTGATGGGCTTGGCGCTTGTCTAAGGCTTTAGCAGCTTCGCGAATTCCACGTGCTAGGCCATCGTGGATGAGGGCGGTCTTCAGCACCTCTTGTAAAGCAGTATTAACCTATGGGGCCAGAGCATTGAATGCCAGTCTTGGCCTATTAATAACCGCTGTTGTGGCTGGACTGGCCCTTGTGGTTCTTATGATTGCAAGATGCCCTTCAGCAACAACCATCAGGAAACTTTGCAAAAGAAATAAAGGTTTATTACTTAGGAGACCTGGAAATTACACAGGAAACCCGGAGCCGCACAGCAAGGTCACAGGGTCACAGGAAGAGAGCAAATGTGCATGGGCATGGGGTTCTGTTTTTACTGGAGTCAGAGGTAGGGGGCTAGGGATTGGTGGGCTCACGATTGCTGATTTTAAAAACAGGATAGCAGGAATTTAAAGCGCGGGAAGAGAAAAAGCAAGAGAACCAAATGGTCAGTTATGGAAATTAACCAAGATCTCTAAAACAAAGGAGCCTGTGGGTGGAGGCGGCCTGGCTCTTTATCCAGCCTGGGGGCTGGCCTGGTGTTTATTTGAGAAGTGGGTGCCTCCTTGAAATGGATGTCTTGGCAATCAAAGCTTAAGTCAGGCACTTGCATTACCAAAAAAAAAAAAAGAAAAAAAGGAACAACTGTCAGTTCACAACCCTCTGGGGGAACTTCCTGTGCGTAATCTGAAACTGGCGGGCAAACGCACTGAGGGCTAAGGGCTGGGAGAGACCAAAGAAACAGGCAGGCCACTCCAGTCTGATAGACAGCAGTTTTACTTGTGTATTTATTTATTTGTTTATTTATTTAGAGAGAGCACAAAAGGTGGAGGGAAGGGGGGGCAGAGGGTGTGAATCTTAAGCAGGCTCCACGCCCAGCGCTAAGCAAAAGGAACTTACCTACAAGGCTTGTCTTAGGTGGCAGCAAGACGAATGGATCCCCGCCCCCCACTGCCAATCTTAAACGTTTCTATAGTGGCCTTAACTGGGTTCAGTCACATATGCCATACAAATGTTAACACCACAGGCCATGTCCTTGGAGCAGCCTCTGGGAGCGGAAGGGCAAGTGGGGCCCATATTCCAAGGACGGGAGGAGGTGTGGAGCTTCCCAGTGCCCAGGTTCAGCTCACGGGTCAATGGGCAGCCCCATCTTTTCGATGACCTTCCCCAACATCCTGGAAACACACACCTGCTGTCTGCTTGGGTGGCTGACACCCCCGCTACACTGGCCATGGACAGAATGTTTGTGTCCCCCTCAAATTCTTATGTTGAAGCCTACCCCCCAGTGTGATGGTGTTAGGAGGTGGGGCCTTTGGGAGGTGACTAGGTCATGGGGGGGGGAGTCCTCAGGAATGGGATTAGTGCCCTTGTAAGAAGAGGCAGGACACAGTTTGCTTCCCCTTCACAACTGTTGGGGCCTTACACAGAGATTGAATGGGAAGGAACAAGAAGGACCCTTCTATGGCTCATGGTGGTGATTACACAGGTGTATACAGATATAAAAAGTCTAAAAACTCAGTGAACCCCGGGTAATACTTGTGCACTTGCATACAGTACTATGTGTGTCCTACCTCAATAAAACCTTCAAACGACACCAATAAGCGCATCATGGGATTTGACAAAGAACCGGGAAACAAAACGAGAAAGGCCAACCAAGCCATAGGAAAGGACCCGTTGCAAGTAGCAGAAAGTCAGGATCAAAGACCTCAGAGGCTTCAGGATTAATGAGTTGTCAAATCCTCCTAAATGAAGAGAATGGCAAAAATGATGCTAGTTGACTTCCAAGGTTAGGCTATAAAAAGCCATGCATCCCTGCTTTGTTCCCCGGGGAATTGTGGGATTTGGTGCTTACAGACCACTGGAAATCCTCACTGCCTTAGGTCACTGCGAGCTCCTGGAGAATCAGGAATCTGCAAGACCCACAGGATCGCCACCAGTAATGACAGCTTCCTGTGGTCTACAGGTGGCTTACGGAGGCAAGCCTGGGGACCACTGCAACCCTCACATTCACCACCTGCCAATGCCCCCGCATCTGCCTCTCTCCATTTCCAGAGGAGAAACCATGCCTTCCCTCGTCCACCTTCCAAATCTAATGCAAGCACCTCTCCTTGGCAGAACCTAATCCAGAGCAACACTGGCAAGGAGCTCTGGAAAATGTGGTTCCCAGACTTTCAGCCCTCCGATAAAGAGGAGAAGAGAGAAAGGAATGGAGATAAAGCCTGACTGAAAAAACACCAGTATTGCTATTTTTTTAATTGGTGTTTATTTGGTTGCTGATGAGATTGAATGTTTTCCCTAGACTTGCTTCCTGTGTTTTCCATTTTGCAGTAAACAATGAAGAAGCTGTTTTAAAAAGTTTAAGTTTCTTTCTTTCTTTCTTTTTTTTTTTTGGTAGGGAGAAAAATAAAAGGCAATGTTAAGTGTAGACATGTTGTACTCATACCTCAGAAGCCCTTGTTGAAAATATGTTGGGCTGACGCCTGGGTGGCTCAGTCGGTTAAGCATCTGCCTTCAGCTCAGGTCATGATCCTGGATCCTGGGATCGAGCCCCGCATCAGGCTCCCTGCTCAGAGGAGAGCCTGCTTCTCCCTCTCCCCTTGCTCCTCCCCCTGCTCATTCTCTCTCTCTCTCTCTCTCCCCCCCTCTCGCTGTCAGATAAATAAAATCTTTATGTTGGGCTAACTCCTCCAGCTGGTTACAGTCACTGCCTGCGACTACCCAGCACACTGACCCTTACTGAGCCCTTACTGGGAACCAGTGCCCCAGCTGTGCATGAGTCCATGTTACAGATAAGTGGGGACAGGGCTAATATTTTTGAAGCACTCTCTTGTGCATTTTTTCCTCTCCCAGTAGTCTAGTTCTAGTTCTGGTTCAGCTGCCCCTTAGCAAAGCTGGAGCCTACGATTTGCTGCTTTGGGCAGGGGGCTGGAGGGAATCCAGCTGGAACAAAGAAGATCATGTGTTCAGGAGAGGGCTGAGGTTAGGAAAGTCCCTGCGGAAGAAAAGAAGGGGAATGCCTCCCCTTATGACTCTAGTGAAGGGTGGTACGAAAAAGAGGGAGAAGGGCAGGAGTTGAGATCCCAGGGCCTCGCACCCCCATGCCCTGGGATCAAAACTCTGGGCTAGGGTGGGAATGGAGTATAGATATCCCAGGTATGTTTAGAGATTCTTCGAGCAGAAAGGACCATGGCTTGGCCTCCTAGGGTGTCCAGGGGGCCACAGGGGCCATGTCCAACCTGGCTTCTGAGAAATGGGTCAACAAGAGAGCAGGAATTGAGTATCTCCAAAAGTGGTAACTATGGTCAACCCTAAGGAAGGTGGTATAGCCCTATAGAGGAGATTTTGAATCCTGTGAATTCTGCTCCCCGTGGATGCCCGTGGGAGATAAATTACCAGAATGTCCATAATTCTTTCCCGCCTCCCTACCTCCACACCCTTGGCAATATTCCTCCGATCAAGAGGTGCAGTCTGTTTTCCATCCCTTCAGTCTGGTGTGGTCTGGTCTGTGAATTGCTTCAACCAAAAGACTGAAGCAGAAGTGACATTTCTGTGACCTTGCAACTTCTGCTCTCTCTCCACACTGCCCCTCTCATGTGAACAAGCCAGACCAGCCTCCTGGAGAACGAGAGACCACGTGGAGGAGGGCAGAGGTGGTCCAGGCGACAGTCAGCTGACCCCAGCAGCAGATTCCCCTAGCCAGCCTGCTGCTGATCTCAAATGCAGGAGCAATCCCAGCCAAAACCAACTGAGATGAGAAGAACCATGGAGCTGAGCCCAGGCAGAATTGTCAACCCACAGAATCCCCAGTTAAATAAATGGTGATTGTTTTAAGCCATTACATTGGAGGGGGTGTTTGTTACACAGCAATAGCTAACCAATTCAATACCTTACCTATTAAAATAAATAAAATTCATTTTAAGTAGCTCTTGAGAAGAAAAGAAATAGCTGAGAAAGGAATCTAGGCAGATGTGTGTGCAGGTGATTTAGAAGTTCTCCTGGGAGGATGACAGGGAGGGGTTGGGGGTCTGGCAGAATTTTCTAGGTCTGTGGTCACTTCAAAGAGTCTCCAAAATATGGGTCTCCTAAACAGGAGAACAAGTAGAAGGAGCAATGGGATTTAGAAGACAGGGCCAGCCACACCTCAGCAGACCCAGTACAAAGTGTTCAGGGACCAGGCCAGACCAACCTCCCCATGGCACACACCAGACCCTGAGACAGGACTCAGAACAAAGACCCACCATCCTGCCGGGAAAGAAACTTCAGCCTCCTCTGCACCCAGGACCACCTGAAGTAGGAAGGAGGGAGGGGAGCATTGAAAGCTTGAGCGTTTTTGGTTTTTGTTTTGGGTTTGTTTGTTTGTTTGTTTGTTTGTTTGTTTGTTTTGGGGAAAAAACTGAGTTAACCTAAAAGAGAATGATTGCACCATACACAATGCTCACTCTACCTCATACGTGCAACCATAGTTTTATTCCTGTTTTACAGATTAGGAAACTGAGGCACAAAGTGCTCAAATGATAGTCATGATTGGATAAAGCCAAGATTTGAGCCCAGATGGTGCCGCTAAACACACTGACAGAACCTGGAAGAGTCTGGGATTGCTTTAATTGGCAAACGTAAGTAAGCTTTTCCTTTCTGATAGCCAGGATGATAGGGGCTCCCGAGGAAGTTACAGAAAATTAAGATGCCACAAACACAAATTTTTATATGCTCTAGGTGTGTTACATTTAGACCCCAGGAAATAGAGGTTTTAAGAGTTGCCCACTCTTATACTTTTAGGAATGGGGTCTGTGCCTTCACCACACTGCCAAAAGGAGGCCTCATGGGGCTTGCTTTATAATAAATCCTTCTTCTTAAGCAAATGCCACCTTCTCTATTTCCTGCATATCATGAATAATGATGGCTGATGTGTTCAGCATTTCCACTGTGCAGAGCCCTCACCCACATATCTTATAATCCTTGCAAAACCTTTCTGAGGAGGGGATTACTACCATCCCCATTCTGCAGATGAAGAAACAAAGGCTCAGAGGTGGCAAGGGAGTTTGAAAGGTCACACAACCCAGAAGAGGCAGACCCCAATACTTGATCCCTAAGTCTGGCCGACTTGGACGCACGCTAGGATGAGCATGCTCATCTTCCTTCCAGCGTGCCCAGCACAGGGCCTATGGCAAGGGGTCCTGGGATCAGTCCCACATCGGGCTCCCTGCTCAGCGGAGAGCCTGCTTCTCCCTCTCCCACTCCCCCTGCTTGTGTTCCTTCTCTCTCTCTCTCTCTCTCTCTGTCAAATAAATAAGTAAAATCTTAAAAAAAAAATAAAGTGCTTTCTTGTAGGCAACAGATAGTTAGGTCTTACTTTTTTATCCAATCCAACAGTCTCTAATTTTTACATGGGGTATTCAGACCATTTACATTCAAAGTGACTTTTTATAGGATTAGGTTTAGATCTTATTACTTTCCTATTTGTCTTACTTGTTCTTTGTTCCCCTTTTCTGTCTTCTTTTGATGGTAGAATATTTTTATAATGCTATTTTGTCTCCTTCATTGGCTTATTAGCTGTAACTCTTCATTTTGTTGTTTAGTGGTTGCTTTAAGGTTTATAGTATACATCTGTAATGTAACACCATCTACCTTTAAATGACAGCATACCACGTAGCATACAGTATAGAAAACTTTTGAAGGTATCCTAATATTTCCCCCCCCCAAGTCTTTATTCTGTTGTTGTCAGAACTTTACTTAAACATGTGTCAAAGCCTCACAATAGAATGTTATTTGTTTTTATCATTTCAGGGCCTTGCTGTTCAGATTTGCTAGATGAGACCAGAGCACTTCTTTCTGAGTACTCTCTTCTGTGTGTTCTACCCATTGCTCTGTCAATCATGAGGTTTTCCAGCTTGGCTGGTGGGAACAGGCACTATTCTCAGCCCTGTGTGAGTGGAGGGCATCTTTCAGTGCATGTGTGCGAGGTGCGAGGAAACTACCCGAGGCCAGGGAACAAACCAACAGAAAGGATTAGAGAGAACAGATCTGACTGGCTCACATCGTGGTGTGTGAGGGTGGATGCTGCTGAACTTCTCGGAACTAAGGACAAAAGCAATCCTTAGGGCTGAACATGCGGTATCACTTAGTCACAACTGTGAGGCGGTTCTTAGAGAAGCTACTAGCACATGCCTAGACAAGGACAGGCAGGAAAGGAATTTAGAATTCCACATCCCCTCCCCAGATCCTCTTAGAAGGGAACATCTGCCTCACCTCCCTATTCCCACACCTCACTTGCAACTAAGAAACACCATGGTATCCTGCAAACTTAGGTCTTGGAGTGAGACGGAGTCATCCAACAGGCCTGATGGTCACATACACCAGGGGAAATTTGGGGCACAAAGCTGATGACCTATGTTGAGCAGAACCTTAAGTCATCTGACCTGAGTCCAAATCCTGGTCATGGTGCTGACTGAATATATGGTCCCTTCATGTTCCTTCCCTTTTCAGTTTTCTCATCTGAAAAATGGAGGTAACAATAATACCTACCTCGGGGAGTTCTGGAGGGGAGCACCTGAGATGATGTTCATAACCCAGGTGTGAAAGAACTTGCATGGGAGGCCTCGGCCCTCTTTCTCCATGCCCATTTTGAGGCCAAACTCAGCAGTTCAACCCCCAAAATAGACCCACTTCCCAACACACCAATAAGCATTGCAGTTTGGCAAAGAATTCACACAAGACACCTGAAAATAATATAATATTACATGTCAACTCTACTTCAAATTAAAAAAAATGTTTTTAAAGTTACACAATTGTATACAGTACATAAAATTTCTGGTATTTACTGTATGTAAATAATGCCTCAATAAGGTAGTTTTTTTTAAAAAAAAAAAAAAAAAAGAATTCACAGGGGGGGCCCTGGATGGCTCAGTTGGTAGAGAATGTGACTCTTGATCTCAGGGTTGTGAGTGCAAACCCTCATGTTGGGCATACAGATTACTTAAAAATAAAAAAAAAATTAAAAATTTTAAAAAGAATTCACAGGAAACAGGGAGAATGTTTACACCGAACACCACGGCACACACATTTTGTGTGATACATTTGAGGGCTAAGAGCAGGGGCTCCAGAAACAGACTGTCACATTCTTATTGGATGAGGTATTAGTTTAGGTGGCCATAACAAAGTGCCACAGACTGGTGGTTTAAACAGCAGAAATGTATTTTCTCTTACTTCTGGAGGCTAGAAGTTTAGGTGAAGGTATCAGCAGTGTTGGTTTCTTCTGAGGCTTCTCTCCTTGGCTTGAAGATGGCCGCCTTCTCCCCCTGCCTCCACGTGGGCCTCTCTCTATGTGAGTCTGCGTCCTCATCTTCTTTTCTTATAAGGATGCCAGTCATATTGGATTAGGGTCCACCCTCATGCTCTCATTTTAACTGAATTGCTTCTTTAAAGACCCCGTCTCCAAATGCAGCCACATTCAGAGGTACTGGGGGTTAAGACTCCAACATATGAATTTGGCCAGGGAGACACAATTCAGCCCATAAATAGTGATCTTGGGAAACTTACCTAATCGTCCAGGCTCTCGGTGTCTTCTGTGAGGATAGGAATAAGGCCACCCATGTCACAGGAGGGTTGGGAAGAATAAATGGTAATACATGCAGGGCTTGGGACATGGTGGGCACTTAAGCGCCATCTATAATTTGTAAATTCTCCATCCAATAGCTCTGTCCAGCCTCTCGAGCCAACTTCCCCATCTTTTGCACTTCCTCCGCCAACAACATCCCTCCAGTATCCTGAGCAATTGTTCTTGGCCGGCTAATGACTAGATTGGGTCAAGGTCAGCTCTGAGGGCTCCAGGGCCTTCCTGCTCAGCACAAAGCTTCTCTTCCTCTGTTGTAGGAGCCTCTGAGCTGAGCAATGGGACTGAGCGGCAGGTGCTGCAGCCCGAGGGCCCCATGCTGGTGGCAGAAGGTAACACACTCCCATTGTGGTGTTCAGTGGACAGCTCCTGCACTGGTGACATGATTAAATGGGTCAAGGTGAGCCATCAGCTCCAGGAGATTTATAACTTCAAACACGGCTTCTTTCCTGGGGTGACGCCCAGCGGACACTGGAGCCACGTATTTGTGACTACTCCATCTATATCCACAATGTCACCAGCAAGCATGCTGGAAGCTGCCACTGTGTGGGGTTTAGTGACTTGAGTGAGAAATCAGAAAAGACCTTAGAGGAGGGCACCTCCATACTTGTGAATGGTAAGTATCAGGCTCTGCAGGTCTAAGCACTCGGCTCTGAGCTGCGTCCCTGCGTCAGCCGCCTCTACCCACAGCCATGCTCTGCACACAAATCCCAGTGGCACACAAAATAAGTGTGTCTCACTCACACACATACAGGCAGCTGGAGTGGTTCTGCCCCGTGTGCCTCGTTCCAGGGCCATGTCTTATCGCAGCTACCCACAGTACATCTGTGTGGTGGAGATGGCAGAAGCAAAGAGGACACGTCCCAATGCCCCCAAGCACATTTCTAGCTTCTAATCACATAATGTCTGCTAACAGCCCATTGGCTAAAGCAAGTCATGTGGCTAAGCTCAAGGTCGAGAGACCGTGTTGTGTACCCTCCCACGTAGAGGCCATGGCAAGAGTAGGGATGTACCATACTACCAGGAGAATCAAGAACTAGGGCTGATAATTTCATCTACCGCACTCCCCACGTCATCAGTCATGCTATCTGTTAAGTCTAGCCACAGTGACCTGGGTACTGAAATCCTGTGTCTGCCAATCAGTAAGAGTGTGTTCTTACATCTGTCACTTCAGCTCTATATAGTTCAAGTGCTTAACTTGTAGAATAAGTGACATGATTCCTACTTTGAGGGTCATTCGGGTGATGAAATAGGAGAATGGACGTTTGTGGAACCACCCTGTAGACTGTTGACAGGCAGAATATCTGTGGCAGGTGGCTGGGGGCAGGAGGAGGGGCTCATTTTAACTTGACGCAAGCATGTCAGAAAGGCTTCTGGGACTCCTTCCAAGCTGTGACAGGGACCTTCTCTTGGTCCTACAGTCCTCTGGGTTTCCAACCTCAGGGGGATTTTCTGGGCCATCTCCACCACCAGACTGAGAACTTCCTCCCAGTCCAAGGACATCCGTGTGTCTTGCTGAGCTTCATTTTTCCCCATCTTAACATCAGCACATAGTAGGTACCGAGAACTTCTTTACTGAGTGAATACTGGGCATGCAGAGGGAGTCGCTGAGTAAAGAAATTAGGGAAGAGGGGAGGGAGGGCAGATATGAGGGAGGTCATGAGCAGACAGCGGAGGAAGAAACGGAATACACCAAGGCCCCTCTCTTTGGCTTCAGGAGCTGGGGACCCAGAGCCAGACCTCTGGATCATCCAGCCCCAGGAGTTGGTATTGGCAACCACCGGAGACACTGTATTCCTGAACTGCACAGTGCTTGGAGATGGTCCCTCAGGACCCATCCGGTGGTTTTGCAGGGCTGGTCTGAGCCGGGAGGCCATTCACAACTTTGAAGGCATCTCCCACCCCAACGTGACAGCAGTCCGGGCCTCCAGCAGGGATTTTAGCATTCTTCTGCAAGGTGCCTCTGGGGAGCGGGCAGGCACCTACTACTGTGTCAAGTTTCAGAGGAAACTCAACAGACAATACCTGTCTGGACCGGGCACCAAGCTGAGAGTAAAAGGTGAGACAGGTGGTCTAGGAGGCATTGGGGGCGAGAGGGAGGTGGTCTACAAGGAACTTTCCATCATGTCCCAAATAAACCAGCTGTTCTCAGCCTCCAGCCTTTCCACAGACCGTTCCCTCTGCCTGGAATTCTTTTCTTTCTCCTTCTCTCTGGAGAGCTCCTACTCATCCTTCAAGCCCAGCATAAATAGCTCCTCCTCTGTGAAACCTTCTGTTTCTCCCAGGCAGAGTTAATTTCTCCCCATTCTGGGCTCCACAAAACTTTGTATAGACCATCAGTGATTTAACAGCATCTGTTGAGTGCCTGTTTACTGCCTTGCATTATACTAGGTGCTGTAGATACTGCAGTGAATCAGACATTGTCCCTAACCCAGAGATGCTCCCACAGGTCTAGCTAGTCCCTCACAGTTGCAGGGTTTGACTTCTGGCCCCCATCGCAGGCAGACCCATCTCGATGACCCCAGGTGCTAGCACAGGGGCTCGGGAAAATGGCAGGACAGATAGAAAAGGGGAATGTGAGGCTGTCTCTCTTCCTTGCAGCAAACTGCACTTCTCCCCAAGAGACAGAATTCACCAGTGAACATGTAGACAGGTTATTTCCATCAGGTGGGTGTACCTACCTCCTGTGAAGGTAACTGGTCCCCACAGGCAAGGGCGGCCAAACATGGCTTGGCCATGGGAAGGGAGCAGTTTCTGACTTCTAGGGCCATCTGCCACCAAGAAAGTCCCCAGGACTTCATCTCAACTGCAGAACCATGTTGAAGCCAGGGAGCTCAATCAGAGAAAGGACTCTCTAACAGCCGGTGCTGACTGGTCAGTGGGCAGTCTTGCTTGAGAGGTAGTGAGCTCCCTGTGAGCCAGTGCAAGGACACACCATGAAGCTATACATCACGGCGCTGGAGAACATGGCTTTGTAGCCAGGCATCCTGGATTGAGCCCCTTTCTAGCTGTGTGATTGCGGGCAGGTAGCCTTGCTCCTTACTTATATGGCTGTTGTCCTGCTCTGTGAACTAGAGGGGAAAAGAGATAAGAATCAGAGAGCCTACCTCATGAGGTTGGATGTAGATCCGATGAGATTTACGCATGCCAAGTGCCCAGAACCGTGCATGTCACATCACCTCTTAACACTCAGGGGTGCTTGGGACTGGGGTGGGGTTGGGGGTGAGACTTGGGGTAGCGGCCCCAGATGCTCCCTGTTGCTCAGCCCTGTTCCTGCCATTCTTGGGAGCCAGACCACCCGGTCCCATCACTTCTCTGACACACATGTCCCTGAGCAAATCATGCCCCCTCTCGGAGTCTGCCTCCTCATCTGTACCAATCGCATTATTATCCTACCTTGCAAGGTAAGTTTAAGGACTATATTAGGCAATTAGGAAGTGCTTAGCTCAAGGTCTGGGGCAGAGGAGCTGAACAGCCAGTAAATGAACACAGTTTTCTATCACTGTCAGCAGTCAGGAATGCTGCCAAGATGACAAAACGTATCGGCAGGATATTGGGCAAAGCCTCTTCAGGCCCAGGACAGAGGGAGGGGAGGTCTTAGATCTCCTCTCTCGGCATAGAAAGAATGTGGCTCCAGAGGTTTACAGCCACTGGGCCACCTTCCTTGTGGGGACACTGAGGTCTGGGACTATTGGGGGATCACCCAGGGTCCTTCCTGAGCTCTCCCCTGTGTCCTCCAGACCTCCTGTCTGTGTTCACACTTGTGGTCCTGGGGCTGAAGACAATGACCTTGGCTGCACTCCTGCTGGCCCTGGCTGCATACTGGAGGAGGCGTCAGCAAGAAGACATCAAGACTCCAGGCCCAGCAGGACTGGGCCCCCCTTAGCATGGGGGCACGGAGCATGGCTCATGGGGCATGGGTGAGGGGTGAGCCCCAGAGTGGGTCCTCTGAGTCGGAGAGAGACCAGGGCTCCTCAGCCACTTCTCTGCCTCTGGTCTCAACCTCCAGATGTTCCCCAGGCCTCGTGCCAAACTCCGGGATCCCCATATCTGGTTTCCACTCACCCGGTGAAGTTCCCCACCGGGCACTGACTGGGCTGCCTTCTGGTGTGCCATGCGTGCTCTCCCTTCACAGCCTGTGCAAGCCTTCCTGGTCCTTCATGGCTTGGCCCGGCTCTCTTCTTGGGGCCCTTGTTCCTGCTACAGCCCCGTCTGGAGTGGCTGCTCCCTTCCTCCACTCTTCACATTTTCTCATCCTTCAAAATCCAACTCAGAGTCCTTTCCGGAAGGTTTTCCTAAGCACCTCTGAGCTTGCAGAGCCAGACTGCCCAGGCCCCTCCATTTATATTCTTCTCTCCCCGTTTCCCGCCTTATTTCCTTCCCACCATGGCTGGCTTGGGTGGCTGTAATAGGTAAATGCAGGTTTGGCAACTTTAACAAAACTCTCTCTCCCTCTTTTTTTTTTTTTTTAAAGATTTTATTTATTTGACAAAGAGAGACACAGCAAGAGAGGGAACACAAGCAGGGGGAGTCCAAGAGGGAGAAGCAGTCTTCCCGCGGAGCAGAGAGCCTGATGCGGGGCTCCATCCCAGGACCCTGGGATCATGACCTGAGCCGAAGGCAGACGCTTAACGACTGAGCCACCCAGGCGCCCCTAACAAAACTCTTAAATCACAGTGGCTTAAGCCAGAAGAAAATCGATTTCTCTAGTAATAACAGAGCATAAGCAGGCCAGGCAACAGGGGATTCCTTCATCTTGTTGCTACCGCGTCCACACCCCAGGCCGTTAAGACTAGGGAAGAAGGCAAAAGTGAAGGGGAGTATAACCCGCCCCTTCAAGGGCACAGCTGGGAACTTGCCCACATCACCTCTAATTGGCTGGAATATGGTCACATCGTCACACCCAGCTGTAAGGAAGGCTGGAAAATGTAGTCTTTATTCTGGCAGCAGTGTGCCCAGCTGCAATGTTTCACTAAAAGAACCAGGAGGCGAATGTCAGTAGATAACCAGTAACATCTACCTCGGTGGCAAGGGGAAGCTTCTTCCTTGCTCTGAGTTCAATTCCCAGCTGAAACAGCACCTTTTTGTACCACCACCTCCACTAGGGAGTATAATAGAGAGCAGTAGTTCTCAAGAAGAGGAGGTTTTTTTTCCCCCAGTGTACATTTGGCAATGTCTAGAGACACTTTTGGTTGTCACAACTTGGGGGTTGTCACAACTGGCTATCACCGTCTAGTGAGTAGAGGTCAGGGGGATGTCACTAAACATCCTAAAATGCACAGGGACAGCCCCCACAACAAAGAGTTTTCTGGTCCAAAGCATCAGTGGTGCTGGGGCTGAGAAGCCCAATGTAGGGGAAAGTGTGACACGCCTGGCTTGCAATCCCAAAGCCCCCACTCGCTCCCCGTATGCCTTTAGTGACTAATCAGTCGCTTCACCTCTTGGACCCTCATGGATAATAATGTGGACGCAGATCATAACATGGACTTCTCTGCGTTGTCTAAGAATTAACTGGATTCATTTATTGAGGGCTTCCTATATGCTGTGTGCTCCAGGTACACTCAGTGCCTGTGAGCTCCCTTTTTGCTTTCCACGTGAACACTTACTAGCACCCATTCTGTGGGGAAGTGTATTAGCCTGGCTGTTTTTCATTATGACAACAGAAAAACAGCTTGCAAAACCTAAGCCAAAGGGGATGCTAGTGTAGCCTGAGAATTGCATAAATCATTGAGTGACCAGACATCAGAATAATAGCCGCCTGCCAGATGATCCACGTCTTAATCTCTGGAACCTGTGACTACGACCTCACATGGCCAAAAAGGGAATTTGCAGCTGGAGTTAAAGATCTTGAGACAGGAGTTTATCCCAGATTATCCAGGTGGGCCCTAAATGCTTTCATGAGTGTCCTGATGAGGGAGAGACGGAGGGAGATTTGACACGGAGGAGAAGACAGCAATGTGACCACAGAGGCGGAGATTGGAGTGATGTGGTCACAAGTTAAAGGATGCCGGGAGCACCCAGAAGCTAAAAGAAGCCAGAACAGCTTCTCTCCCAGAGCCTCCAGAGGGAGCAGGGCCCACTGAACACCTTGACTCCTGCCCGGTGATGCTGCTTTCAGACTTCTGGCCTTCAGAACGATGAGACAATAAATTTCTTTGTTCTGAAGCACCAGGTTTGTGGTCATTTGTCACAGCAGCCCCAGAAAATAAACAGCAGGGAAGGAAGCATGGAACCGAGCCTCTGGAAGAACTACTCTGCTCCAGAAACCTCTGGGACTTGCTGGGCCCTGCACCATCCGGTCCCTGCAAACCACTCCCCTCCCCAATCGCATCTCCCACCATCACCCCCTAAACTGACTCCGCCCTGACACCCACCTGGGCGTTGGCCACGCCACATTCCCTAACTCATCCAAGTCTCCCTGCTCAACTCTTTCCTTCGCGAGGGCTCCCAGATGGCTCTGTCCCCGAGGACATCTCCATCCCTCTCGTTGTCCTCACGCCGTGGATGTGTCCTTCACGGCACTCACCGCTGCCTGAAATAAACATGTGTGTATTTCCTTCAGGACAGCCAGTTGTCTCCTCTAGAATTTGAGCTTACTGAGGGCAGGGGCCTCACTTTTCACCATTGTAGCCCCTGCCACTCAGTTACAAAGAGTGGTTGAAGGCCGACAATGAGCCAGACACCCATCAGTGTGCTGAGAATTAAAGAGAAAAGTCTGTTCTCTCAGGGCATACCTACTATTGGGGGAAGACAGACAATGAGCAAGTAAATGTAGGTAAGCAACATGTCACATGTTGGTGAGTGCTAAAGGAATAATAAGGCAGAAGCGGAGGAGGGGGGTACCAGAGCAAGGGAGAGGAGATACATTTTATTTAGGGTGGTCGGAAGGGTCCTTACAGGTAAAGTGACAATTGAGCAAAGACCTGAAGGGAGTGGGTTGAGAGCCTTATAGATATCTGAGGGGAAAGCGTAATAGGGTAAGGAAGAGCAAGGGCAAAGACCCTGAGGCAGGAGTGTGTTTGACATGGCACAAGAATCATGAGCACCAAGCAGGTGCTTGGCACATGTTAGACCCCTGTAACATCTGAGGGGGTGTAGAGGGTAGAGGTAAAATTCACAGTCTTGGGAATCTACCCAGATTGAAATTCCAGTTCTTCTGTTCATCTCTTGGGTGAGTTCTCTCAGAGTGTCTTGGTTTCCTTATCCATAAACTGGTAATGACATCAGCATCTCCCTTCTTAGGTCGTTTTGAGGCGGAAACGTATTGGTGCATGTAAGGCATTAATTGTGCCAGGCCCAGCGGATGTGTGGGCGGGAGCAGTCCCAAGAGGGGGTGGAGAGGGTGCTGGCAAATAAAACAAACCGTGGGTAACTCAGGGCCCTTGGTGGGCGCTCAGGAAAACCTGCTGTTGACAGATTGAAAGAGTGGGGAAGGAACTGGAGTCCGAGCTGCTCAGCGCCCCCGCCCCCTGCTTTGAGGCCTGGAGCCCCACACAGGCAAGATGACCCGGGTCCACAGCTCCCGCCAGAGGCTCATCCTGCTTGAGCCTCAGGATCTAGACCTCTGGAGGTCGGTGGTTGTCCCCCAGGTCTCCCTGAATCAAAGCATCGGTTTCTTCCCACCTATTCTGTTTTCTCCTTTCCTGCTCCTCTTCTTTCTCTCCTTCCTTCCCCGCTGATAGTTCTTGCCCTCCCCTCTGTCTTCCCCAGAAAACCCCTATCAAGCCTGCCCAGGCTTGGCCTCCGTGACAGCTCCTAATGAGAGAGATGGGTCTGTCCACATTGTTCTCCTTGGGCTTCCAAGGCCTCCCACTTGCTCCTGCGGAGAAGGCCTGGAGCTGGAGGAAGAGGAAGGACAGACAGAGGTTTCCTGCATCCCGCCGCCCCGAGGATGACGGCCTTGAGGGTTCTGTGCTGGAGTGGGGCAAGAGTGGGTGCCAGGCCTGGTCAAGTATACCCCACTACCGCCCGTAGGACACACACACAGCTCAGAGTGCATCTGGGTCCCTGGGCTGGGTGTGGGGCAGTAAGGGGTGCCAGGCCTAGCCAAGCATGGTGTTACATGTTTCTAAACTATCTAGATGGTACTATATAATGGCACTTTACTCCACACGCCATTCCCAACCTTGCTTTTTTGGCTCCACATTCGAGATTCATCCAGGTTGGTTACCTGTAGGTCTAAGTCATGCATCTTCATGGCTCTATGGTATTCCATTGTAGCAATACATCACATTTGTGATTCTCTTGAGGTTGGAGAACTGAGTTGTTCTATCCTCTCAGTACCGCCCCCAGAAACAATGTCATCATGTCTCCTGGTGTGCGCAGGCCAACATTTACATGGGGTGAACACCCACAAGTGGATCTGGCAGGGGATCTAGGTTTCACGATTCTTCAACTCCACTAGGTTTGCCAAGTTGTGTTCCAACGCCTTTGAGGACTGCCCTCGCCACCCAGCTTGTGCCCGAGAGCCCAACCTGCAGCCATGATGAATACTGAGGGCAATGTCTTTGCAGCCACCTCACTTGGGAAAGGCACATTTATGGGTTGGAGGGCTCGGGCCATTTCTCCCCACCATCTGTTTTATGGAAAAGGAAAAGTTTTATGTATTGAAATTGGGTCACATCCCAGAGTCAGCTCACCCCTCATCAAGGGTCCAGGTACCTGCCCTGCATCCTTGTCCTCAGATTCTGACCTTGAATTTCTCATCTGGATGCTCAGATACTTGGTTTCATTCATTCATTCCTTCATTAATTCAGCAAAGGATCATCAAGTGGCTATTTAATGCCAGTGACTGCAGGTCCCAGGAGATAAAATGACCCATAACATTTGCAGAGGGCTTAGTAAGTGTCAAGCAGAGCAGTTCACGCTGGATCCTCACACATCCCTCTGAAGTACTGTAAGGAGCCCCATTTACCCATCAGGACACTGACGCTAGAGATAATCCACTCACGATCCTACAAGCAGTAATGTCTGGGCTTCAACCCCAGGCTGAGTCCAGAGTGAGTGCTGATAAGCCATATTGTGCCAGAGACAGCCACAGCCTCTTCTGTCACAGGGATGGTGGCCCTTGGGGAAGGCTAACACTTAAGAAGGCATCACAGGGCATGCACAAGGATGTCTGACAGAGAGCCCAGGGATGTAGGAAGGCCTCCCTGAAGAGGGAATACCTAAACTGAGGGGAAGGGGTGTGCAGAAGCTGACAAAGGAAAGAGGAAGAGAAGAGAATCCCAGGCAGGATGGCAAGAGACAAGAGGGCAAAGAAGCTGAGGACCTAAAAGACGGGATTGGGTCTCAGAAGGTGCCCTTGGAACAGGAGCCTGAAGAAAGTGAGGGAACACCTTGCCCACCAGCAAAGGAAAAGGGAATCGCCGCCGCTGGCAAGGCTCTGAAGCAAATGCGCACCTGGCAGCAAGAAGGGAGTGTGCCTGGGGCAGAGGAACTTAGTGGGAAGCCTGGGAGATGAGATGGACGGGCTGGCGTATTTCACACCGGTCTTGCAGGCCAGGAGATTTTGTCTGCTACGCGGTGTGAGACCGGGAGGCACGTTCGTGTTGGGAGCAGAGGAGGGACCTGTTGTTCCAGGTCTATTTTTTTCCCCTAGAATGTGAGGGCAGGGACTTTGTTTTGCTCTTTGCCTGTCCCCATCCCTGGAAGAGCACCAGGCCCTTTGATCGCATTTAGTAAATATGTGAACAAGGAAGTGAATGAACGAATAAATAAATGAATGAAATGAAGGAACGAGTCGATGAAGAACTGTGGATCTGACTCCTTCAGAGATTCTTCATCCCACAGGTGCGGGGAAGACCCGCCCCGCCTCTCCTCCGCCCGGCTTCCACCCCCGCCCTTAGGCTGCGGGTCCGCGCCGCGGCCGCCAGAGGGCGCGGAGCAGGGAGAGTTTTCCGCACGGAGGGCTTTGCGTGAGGCACCGCATGGGGCGGGGCCTGCGGGCGGGCGCCGCTCGGCTGGGCCGAGTCGACCGGCGGGCGGAACGCGGCTGCGGGGCTGAGGCTCTGCGGCGGCAGCCGGAGCGGTTCGGGCGGCGCACAGAGCGAAGATGGCGGCGGAGCGACAGGACGCGCTGAGGGAGTTCGTGGCGGTGACTGGGGCCGAGGAAGACCGGGCCCGCTTCTTCCTCGAGTCGGCCGGCTGGGACCTCCAGGTAGCGGCGCGGAGCCGGCTGCGTCGGGCCGGCCAGGGGCTGCGGGAGGCGGGTGTCTGGCGCATCAAGCCCGCGGTGGCCGAAGCGCACAGTCATCCCGCCGGGCTGCGGCCCGACCCAGGCCTCAGGGTCCTGAGGCCGCTTGCCACGCGTCGCCAGCTCGGTTGGGCGTGGGGGAAACGCGGGCCAACCCCGGCCCGGCCCTGCTCTGCCGGGCCTCGGTTTCCCCCTCCGCCTCGCCCGCTGGTGGGGTCAGCGAGACTTTGGGCACTGCCGCGACCCGCGTGGAGAGGGGAGCCTGGGGGTGTGGCGGCCGCGCCGAGGCTCGGCTGGGGCTAGGGCGGGAATGACCAGGTCCGGGGTGGAACTGCGCCGGCGACGAGGTGGTCGTTTATTTCCCTTTACGCCGCCCCTGCCGCAGGTGGAGGGAGCCTCCCGGCCCAGGAGTTGGCCCACGCCCCCTCCTACCCAATTCCTGGGAGAATACCTCCAGGGTGGTGGCGCAACCTTGGAGCCTATTCGTCTTTCCTAGTCAAGTCATCTGTAAAATGGGAGTCTCGTGGAATTTATCGTCTAGTGTACTGGCACATATTACGTATTCACTACATAGTTGTTAATTAAGGCATTAAGATGAGCTACACGAGGGAGGGATTTTTAAAATTGTTGAGTCCCCCGTACCTGGAACAGCTCCTGGCTCATAATATGCACTCAGTAATTGATTGTAGAAAGAATTGCGTAAATGGTCTTGGTTAGCCTGCGTCTTGGGTGGATGACGATGATTAGTAGTTCTTGATTCCCTGCCAGGAGCCAGGTGCTGTTCTAACTGCTTTACGTGTCTTAAATTACTTAATCTTAGCATTTTGCAGCTGAGGTTTAGGGAGGTTAGGTAACTTGCTCAAGGCATCACTAGTTACCAAGTGGAAAAGATAGCGTTAGAACTCAGTTCTGTCTGATTCCAGAGCCCAGGCTCTGAACCGCGGAGTGCCGGGCACTTTACAGGTGATGATTT